CCATTCTGATACATAGTCAAGATCTTTTTGAAGGGTAGCAGTATTGTCTGTGGTATTGAACAGCTTTACATCATCAACGAACACAGTTGCTCTTAATGTGATCACAGAGGTCATTATGTAGAGTATGAAGAGAGTTGGTCCTAGAACACCGCCTTGGGGGACACCCAACTTAGAACTAAGGAGAAATTTCCTGACAGTTAGAACAATTAATCAGGGGAACAACTTGCCTCCAGAAGTTGTGAATGCTCCAACACTGGAAGTTTTTGAAAAGATGTTGGATAATCATGTGTCTAAAGTGGTGTAGGGTTTCCTGCCTAGGCAGGGGGTTTGGACCAGAAGACCTCCAAGGTCCCTTCCAACTCTGTTATTCTATTCTATTCACACACTTTAACAATTATAGGATTATAGTTTAGCATTGTGATATAATAATAGACACTTGAAAGCCTGCCAGAGTTTCCTTCGATTCCTTCTTATCGGAAAAAAAAGTCAAGGTGAATTATTTTGAATCTTTCTCATTCTTCTTCCTTTCTCATGGCCCAAGTTGTTTTGTCATTTCAAAAGACCTGCAGGCAAAAGGTTGTGGTAGTTTTCTTTTTCTCATCTTTACCTGAATATTTCTTTTCAGTATCACCGTCAATGGTCAAACCATTGCTTGTTCCGGTGGCTGCCAAGCTATTGTTGACACTGGTACCTCCCTCCTGGCAGGTCCCCCCAATGGCATTGCTAAGATTCAGAACTTCATTGGTGGTAGCCAAGATTCCAATGGTCAGGTAAGCTTGATAATAATGCTATGCAACTACAATTAATATACATAAATAAATAATCATTACCAGTAATGAAAAATTGCTGGGAATATAGGGTTGAAAAAGTAGTAAAAATTTAGCACGTTAAAATGTCAGATTTCCAAATACAAACTGATAAAGTCTAGACTCACAACACACCAGATTTAACTATTGAAAAGAAGAAAGCGTGGACAATTCATGCGGTAGTATCAGGGGATAGTAGAAGACAAAGAAGAATTGAAGAAGATCACAAAGCATCAAGATCTGAAAGGTTATAGGATAAAGCAGCTGTGGTGGTTCCAGTGGTTATCAGTATACTGGGTGCTATACCAAAAAATATTGAATGACATTTAGAAAATCTGCATTGACAAAGTTTCCATCTGACAATTGCAAAAGGCCACACTACTTTGATCCACCCATGTTACACTGATATATTATGACATCCTAGATTCTTGAGACCCTTATCATGGACTTTGCATTCTCCAGCAAGCCCTCAGTTCAGGTTCCTTTGATTCCTCTACTAGACCAAGATTACACATAAAAATGAAAGAAAATGAAACCCACAAAGATACAAATTGGCTATTACTAGCCAAACTCCATTCTTCCTCTCCTGATATTGTTCTGCTTACATGTGGTATGCCTTCCACACTGCAAACAGCTATCGCTTGGAATATAATCCTGATCTGAGGTCATAGTAGATTCTAAGAACATCTTGTTTCAGGAAGCATCATTCTAATGCAGGACTGAGCAATTAATTTTCTCAAGCCACATAAGAAACTGGGACTCTTGTGGAGAGCTGAACCAGTAGAGCTGTGAAGGTGCATAGACATGCGCACACGCACATATGTAAATCGGGGGGGTGGAATAGCAGTCACCTTCAAAATAAAATCACATGGGATGGATAAGGAGGGCCAAAGGGTCAGAGGTGGCTTTTGCCCTGGGGTGGGGTCGTCCTAACGCATTTTTTTCTGGACAATTTCTAGTCTCTAACGCCCAGCTTTTTTTCCTTTCTCAAATGTTATGGGGATGCTAATATATGTTTTCTGTTCATCCTACTTCACATCAGTATATAGTCAACTGCAATGCTATCAATGAACTGCCTGACATCGTCTTCACCATCAATGGCATTCAATACCCTGTGCCTGCCAGTGCCTACATTCGCCAGGTAAGATCTGTGGTTTACCCAAAAAATTATCTCAAATAATTTAGGGTTAGGCTTAAACCTCTAGAGAAAAAAAAACCCTGACCTATGGAAAAATTATAGGAAGACAATCTCAGTCACTTGGGAGATATCGTCTAACATTTGAAGTGCTTTTGATAATTTTTATCATAGCAGTATTTTCATTATGCATTAAGACTTGAACTCTGCAATTCTGAACATGAAATTCAACACATTTAGCGATAAGATTATTCTCATGTAGATCATATTCATTTCTAGTCGATCTCATTTCTCCATAGTAGACCACCCTTACTATGTTAGAGTTCAATTTCCAGTGTTTGGGCTATCTGGAGCATTATCAGAATAGAAATCCAACACATTTAAATAGAACCAGATTGAGGAAAGCTGTAGGAGATTATTTTAAAGAAAGAGTATTGTACCAGCTTATTATTTTGAACTCAAGAATAATACTATGCTTAATCACAAATATTGCAATATAAACCTAATGTTCATAGTATGGAAGATATACGTAAAGTGATTCTTTCCTTATGGCATTATTATTTCATTATGCTATAGTCTATGTACAAATGTTCAAGAAAAGCACAGTTAAAGAGCAAGCACTGTTAAATGAAAAACCATGTATGATTCACTGTTATATATCATCCATGGGGCTCTTCAGAAAGTTTCATACAGAGTCCGAATATGATTCTCAGCATTCTGGTCTTTCCCTTGCGTATAACTAAGATACAATCCTATTCTAGCAACAGTTACTTTCCTCCATGGCATTGCCTTCATTTTCTCCCCAGCCTGTGTTTTAGTCAGTGTTAGCATACTAAGATGAACATAGTAGCATTTTCCCTTACTCCAACATAACCCAACAGCAGGCTTAAGGTATGCAATATCTGTAAGGGTTTGTCACCCATCGCCTTGGAGGGAAATCAGATGACTCCAGATTTAAACAAAAGGCAAGTTCGAGGTAGACAAGGGAGACAGCCTATTCAATGCAAATATGGTTTTCTGCTACTCCAACACGGATAAGGAACACTCAATAGGAAAGGGGGAGGGGGAATGTCAGCTTCCCTTTGCTTTGTAAAGGCCCTCTAGTTAGGCCATTCAAATTCATCATATATTTGTACTTCTCTTTCAGTCCCAAAGTTATTGCACAAGTGGCTTCGAGAATATGTTTTTCCAATCTGAGCTTTGGATCCTTGGTGATATCTTCATTCGTCAGTACTATTGTGTCTTCGACCGAGCAAACAACCAGATTGGCCTGGCTCCTCTTGTACAGTAATATCCACATCTTATTGGTCATTTTATAGCCTAAGGATCGTCTTGACTCTTTGGAATTAAATTTAGAAATTATGCTCCTGATCCCCGTGCTTCAATGTCAGCAGCAATAAATAAATACAAAAATAAATGGCTTTGTACTCACTGCACACTGAATGCATGTCAACTAACGAACTGAAGTTAATTCATTCCAAGTGAAATTTCCCAAGTGAATGCATGCAACCAAAGGGAACCCACCACTGTCAAACTACTCTTAATTTTAGGAAGTTTTTTTCCAGCATTCAACAAACATTTAACTTTCCTTCAATTAGTAAAGAAGAAATCAATAAACATACTTTCCAAAGCTTATATTTACCTATACACAAAACAAGCCTTTTAAAAATGAACTGTATCAAATTCAGTTATAAAAAATCCAGTTTGAGAATATTCTGATTAAATTTATTTGTCATAATTTTTATTATAATTTATATTTTAGTTTTTAAAACCAACCATTTTGTTTAAATGGAAATTTTCACAGCACTGTAATACCAATTTTTATATCAATATATGAAAAAGAAAATATAGGCATTTATTTTGACATGGCAACATACCAAGGTAAATTCACACAGAAATGTCCTTTAATTCATGCCCAAATGAATACATGCATGTGTGAAGTGACAATCTCAAAGGGGCTTTATCATATCTACCAATAAAAATGTGCACGCACATTGCTCATATTGTTCAATAGATGGCATCAAATGATGTGCCCTAATCTGCCCTATTTAGGAAATATTGGCAAGAATGGCTATGAATCAGGGGAAAGAGTGGCAAGAGAAAAGGATGTAGATGCTTTGATAACCAGACAATGTCACTTTAAGTAATAGTCAGTTGTTAGTTCAAGGTACAGAGATATGAGGCTTAACAGGTTTGTATTCCCCTTTCCACAAATATAGTTCCATGAAAAAAAATTGAAATCTGGACTAGTGAATTTTTAGTCTCCCCATTTTTTCAAGATTCCTTGGAGGAAATCAACTTCAAGCCAGCATAAAGCCATTACATGCCCACTGAGGTAGGGTGATTTTGACAAATCATAAACTGAATCAATTTGAGAACCTTAGCAAAGTCAGTCAGAATGTCTGTGGCATAATGTACCAAACACTTCAGACTCCTACACTGGCTTCTTAATATGTGGATTTGCCTGTCCAGCTACTACTGTTTTTCACTTTCTGGGTTTTCACCTGCAAAAATTGCAGAGGAGAAGTCCCTTTCTGAGTACATGATTAAGGCTTAGAAGCCAGCAAAGCTAGAGTTGAAGATAAATGGGCTTTATCTGCCTCACATAAGTTGAGCCAGCCAGCCAAGGAAAAACTGTGGATATGCTTCAAATCACTTTTCAAATTGCCACTGGATGCGTTCAAAGTTATATTTCATGTGGCTGTGCTGCCCTTTGGATCCAAAGGAAAAAGGGTGCCCTAGAACAGGGATGTCAAACTCAAGGCCCGGGGCCCAGATCCAGCCCATGAGGTGCATAGATCTGGCCCATGGGGCTGCCCTGGAAACACAAAGGACCAGCCCACGGTGCCTCTGCCAGCAAAAATAGAGCTCGGGAAGGCTGCACATGGCCTTCCCAAGCTCCATTTTCACTGGCAGAGGGTTTCAGGAGGCCGTCACATCTGAAGATGGAGCTTTTTTCGCTGGCAGAGCTCTCGGGCCACCACAGGCAGCCCTGACATGAGTGATGTTGAGCTGGTCACACCCATCCTGGCCATGCCCACCCTGTCTCCCCCAGGTCAAACACAATCCTGATGCAGCCCTCAATGAAATTGAGTTTGACACCCCTGCCCTAGAACAAATGTATTTTTCCAATAACACTATTATAGCTGCAAAGCACAGTCATGTGATACAGGGAAAAGATGCCACTGCTTTATAGAACCATTGGCAGGTGAAATGTTCCTGCTTTTGTGCTGTCTGAAGCACTTTTGTGGCTTTGAAACAGAAGCCCTGCACTGCTCTAGTACATCATGTCATCCTGCACATTGACATCAGACCCAAGCCTACTGAGGAACAATGATGCTAGTCATTAAGTTTTGGGAAGAACATAAGTTACATAAATGATTACCCAATGAAGACTTATTGGACATCTCAGAAATTTAGAATTCCCAGAGATTGAAATGGAAGAAAATGGCAGCAGTCTTTCTAGATTCAATTATGAAAAGTTGATATGCCCTTACAAGACACCCCTTTGAGGTAGTTGATGAAATTCAATCATGCTGCCTATTTTATGAATGGGCTGCATATCACTTTCAAAGCCTTTCAAGAACTGAATATTCCTGAAGACTTTAGTGGCTGGCAAATTTCACCCAAGAAATGTTAAACAAAGTTCTGATCAGCTTAGCTTGGAAACATACTTTTAACTATGGCATAGAAAAATACATTTACCTTTAGTCATGATGCTATGATTTTAGTGTTCATAAAATATATCTCAACATATTATAATCTGAATTGCAGAATTCTATATACACCAGAACAAGAAAGTGGAAATTTTCCACTATTAAAATCAGTGTTGTACATACCAGTATGCAGTACCTTTTCTGTAAAGCAATGTTTAGTTCATTTCTGACTTCATGGAAAGCTAGCCACATTTCTTCAATATGTATAATCAGTCCTAAAATGTCCATATAAGGCAGCAAGCAGCAAAAAAAATGTCTGTATTAGACATAGTGTGAGAACATTTATTATGTGACTCCTGGCACAAATTGTTGCTTCCCTTGCTAGCATTAGGCCAGCCATACAACATGCAATACAAGAAGTTGAATTAACCTATGATTCTACTACTTGTCATGCTTCCATTCTGAAATCTTTATGCTTTACCAGAATGTACTTATATTGCAAATAAAAGGCATTTTTCTACTATCATCTAAATCCAATGGGGTGTTGGTTAAATAAGAACCTCAATACAATCAAGAGCTGAAGTGATATCCTAGTAAGAGAACCTGCTTTCTAAGAACCCAGAAATTATAATGGAGATTATTGCTATGAATACATAATGAGAGATCTAGCAAACAGCAACCACATAGGCAGATGCTCTTGTTTTTATGATATTAAAGTGGTTATGTTCCTCTTATTCAAAATAATCCCCAATCTATGGAGATATATCAGTGAGACTATTCTCATAACTAGAGGTTAATTTAGAGCTGTTCCCTACATTCTGCTGGCCCAAAGAAAAATATGTGAAGTCGGTTGAGCTGCTAGGAAGCTCTTGAAGAGAGTCTAGATTAGAGCTGGCTGAAGAAGAAAATGTTTCACCCGGAGGTTGCAAAGGAAGATTGTGGGTGTTTGAACCCTGAAATAAGGCAGTTACGGACTTTTTGAGGTTATCTGGAGTGGATGGAATGGAAATATGAGCAGTAGGGGGAGATGCAGTGGTTCTATTTGTTCTGGAATAAAGAGAGGACAGGCTGGAATGAATCATGGAGGACCCAGTTGATTTGCTAGCAGGTTCCCCAAAACTCTCTGGGTTATTTAGAAATGATACAATGGACTCTGGCTTTATTTGAGGAATTGCTGAGTGGCCTAGCCAAGAAGGAGGGGTGATACTTGGTGGCTCATTAAGATGCAACCTAGTGGCCTCTCCTGGTCTGCTTTGGTGGAGTCCAACATTTCCTAGTGCAATTGGGTTTGTAAGTATGATCTCCTGATCATTTGCATTACTTGCTTCAAGATGATCCTCTGGAGTAAGTGAGGCAATGTTAGGGGTAGAGCTGTCAGACATCAGAGGCATGGGACCTCTTTGAAGAGTTTGCAAGAGTGTCTCTGCTGCTCCATCTTCCAACATAGGGTTGGCTAGTCTATTTTCCAGAGAAGCCAAATCATCTGATGTAGAAAAAAAGCAAATTAGATTGATCTGAAATATTGTGGAAGATGTATTACTTATTACCTATATTCCTAGACTGCACAAATCTCAATCCATGGTGAATTTAGCTGTGCATGAGCATATACAAACATACACAAACACTGCCCCTTCCTGCTGGATCACAAAAGCAGGTGTAATCATTCATAAACAAAGGACTATTTCATACAGCTTGAACAGAGCATAATTGGGGGACCTAGAAAGTACATTGTAACACATTCTGCAGCTTTCAATATGTTAAGAAACCTGCATTACAGAATGGAATAAGAAATAGAGTAGAGTGGAGTAGACTAGAGTAGAGTAGAATAGAACAGAACAGAACTTTGTTGTCTCTTTAAATGTACAATAATTAGCATACATTAAAATGAAATTTCATTGCATTCAGGTCTCAAAAGATAGCCATTATTTCTATATTCACATATACACACATATGTAACACAGAGAAACATCACAGTCTAGTTCGGATGTATACATTTACTGGGGGCAGTGGGGGCGGGAAGGAATCCTGTGAGTTTATAAGACAGATGGCATAAGGAACAAATCTGTTACAGCAGTGATCCCCAACCTTTTTTATGCCACGGCCCGGTACCGGCATCAGATGGGCGCCGCGGCCCGGTACCGGCATCAACTGGGCGCCGCCATCTTTTTTTGATGAAAAAGTGCTTCCGGTGAGCTTTCTACCCGGAAAAGCTCACCGGAAGCACTTTTTTATCAAAAAAAGATGGCGGCGCCCAGCAACCAGCGGCCCGGTAAGACTTGTTCCGCGGACCGGGACCGGTCCGCGGACCGGCGGTTGGGGACCCCTGTGTCACAGAATCTAGTAGTCCTGCTATAAATAGAGCAGCAGAATCCATAGAAAAGTTACTGCTTGCACACCAGTGACTGGCAGAAGATGGAAGGCAGACTTTTTAAGAATTTGTTCATCAGATTTCCCCACAGACTCTCAAATATCCTATAATCGCAAATACTGTACAATGTCTCCTCTCTGTCCTGACCCCCACTACCATCCTGGACAATTTTGTTTTGCATGACAAACTTAACGCAACTTCTGTAAACAGTTCTATGCAGAGAATATTTTTTATATTTCTTTAAAAGAGGTAGTATAATATGAAGTACTTTTTTCCTGCTCCCCAAATCTCTTTGTTGTAAATCTGAGAGGATGGAACTAAGAGCAATAGATTCCTCAGACATATGTGACAAAAAAATACTTACTTATAACTTCATTATTTTGGCAGTCCGGGCAGCAATGTGTCAGAGGACCAAAGGGCTCTGTACAAGTCTTTGGACATATCTTCCTCTCACAGCTCACCTCCCCAAGCTGAAGGGAAAGAAAATAAAAGAGGTATTCAAACTCAGCAAGAAATCACTGATTGCAGCAGGTGAATCCACTGCCTTTCAATGTCCTTCTGTCCTAGGGATTATATTTTTCTAGTATTTCTATTATTGCATGGCATAGTTGGAAGCTATGCAAGAATACGTAAGAGAAGAATTAAATTTAGAGCATGAATACAGTATGTGCTCTTTGTTGTACATGGGTGTGAAAGCTGGATCCTCAAAAAGGCTGAACAAAGAAGAAATTATGCTCTTGAGATATCGTGCTGGAGAAAATTGATGAGAATATCGTGAATTGTAATACTGGGAGAAGTGATACCAAACTGATTGCTGGAAGCACTAAAAATGAAGCTGTTGTATATTGTGGGGAGAGTTACAATTATATTATTTGAAGACAGGACCTCTGTTGTTTTTAGGCCAGGAGGAGTTAGGGCTGTTGTTTAGTGGGATTTCTACTGCTACTGATCAGATTTGTTTTGCTTTTTTTCTTTAGGGCTACTATAGATTAATTCAGTTATTTGCTGTGTTTACCATGAATAAATGTTTGTTTACAGACTCTGCAATTTCTGCTGCCTATCCTACAGGCTATTAAACAGAAATTAAAGCAATTATATTGGATACATAATGGAAAAACAAAAGTCATCAGAGAACAGGAGACACACACAGCTGGAAAAATCAGAGGCAATTAAGGAAGAGGCTGACAGGTGGCAGAAGCAGGAGGTTATGAGAACTCAAAGAAAAACGATTGACATCAGTGGAATCTGACAGATTATCAACACATCTTAGCTGAGGCCTATTTAAGATTTCAAAAGAAACAACAGGAAAGAAGGTAAAGGAATGGAGTCTCCCTCTTCTCCAAAACCTTCACATCTCACCTGGCACGTACAATGAACACAGGGTTCATCTTCAGGAACAAAGTTGTGTCCATTGATTACTTTTCTTCCCTTGTAATTGCAGTCTGCAGAAAAAGAATGCATAAGAAATACAGTTCCAACCATGAACATACTATCCACAAACCAGCTTATGAGGCAACATGATCAAATTATAATATAGTGTCATATAAAAATTCAGAAGTTATATTCTCTAATACTAAATATTACTCAAGATTACTGGAACATCCCAACTGTTGATTACTGCAGAAATTATTGTATAAGTGAGAATTCCTATAGCAAGAAAGGTAAACAGCCGATCAGATATCAAGCTGAATATTCAAGAACCAAATCAGTTACTAACAAACTTCTCTAACATTTTAATTTTTAGTCTCATGTAAGTAATAAAGACCATGCATAAATCCCAACCAACTGGATAGACAACTGTTTAGTTTATACATAAATAAATAAATGTCAAGTGCAGGCACACTGTTTTAAACAAATTACACTGCATGAAAATATGAAACCCACAAATTATGCAACTCTTCATTAAAGAAAACAAAACTGGTGATACAGTTTTGTAAAAGAACAAAACATGTTTTTTTTAAAAATTGGAATTGCACTCCTTTGATTGCTCCAATTTTGATTTGTAACACTGCTTACTTCTGGACTGGCCAAAACCATTCCAATTAAAATTGGTTTCAAAGCAGTATTCTGGCTTTTTAGTGCCTTTTACTAGTAATTCCCTCCCTTCAGCTTCTGCTCTTTTTATTGCTTCCTGTTCAATAAGGAAGGGGCATTTCTACTAAATTTTCTCCTGCAATTTATTCAGTTCCTATGTACATCGGGGAGAAGCAGGATGCTTCAATGCTAAAATAAGGTTATTTATTTTCTCCATCATTTTTCTTTATTTTCATCTTAATAGCAAAATAACTAGAGTCAATAAGTGTGTTTCAAACCACAGTTGCATTTCAGATGCAAACCAAGATGCAAATTCTTTTGAAAAGCAATAGCAAAAAGCGCAATTAGTAGTATATAGATAATATTTGGAATAGTCTTTTAGAAAAGCCACATTGCTGTGATGCTTACCATGACAAATTGGACAGCACTCGCCTTCTGGATGGAAAGGGTATGTACAGGATACGACACAGTCCACAGGAGAACAGGCTACAGAGCCCAGCTATAAGGTCCATGCACAAACATACATAGAGTTGTACATGTGCACACACATGCAGAAGCATTGCGCATGTACACATGTACACATGCACACACATACACACACAAGAACCTATATTAATGGCAAAGAAATATTATTATACTGCAATTTAAAATCTTCATCTCCTAACACATTTTTTTAGGTTTCTTCCCCTCCTTATTTCTGTTTCTTTCCCTTTCTCCCCCCCATCCCCCCCCCCCCCCCAACCCTGAATAGTGCATTCCTTAGTAATAGTTGTAGTCAGGGATATACTTTTTGTAGAATTGCAAAAGAATGTTTCACAAAAATAGCAAATAGATCTGTTTTCTAAGAGTCAAGAGAGGTGTGTTAAGTATAGGAGAAAAGTGCAAATAGAACATTATGAGCAATTTTCAAATTATTCCTTCTTGGATTGACTCAAGTCAATTATTATTATCTACTATTTCAGTAAGAAATGTCAGGGAGTTAATTCTTCTTTTTTTATCATATCCAGTTTTGTATGTCCCTACTCTCTTGGGATAGCCTGGGATGTTATTACATGAAGTCATGTAAAACCTCCTGCATAGAAGCATGACATAATTTACATCTGCATCTCTCTGAAAGGTTAAGGGAGGGTGGAGTAGATATACCACTCTGATTCCCTCTCGGGACGTGGCCTCTTATCCCAAAGAACATTATGGACAGTTTGTTTGCTTAGAAAATTTATACAGGCATCTACTCGCTGATGACTTTTGCTCTCTCACAATTACCAGGGTTTAGCATTTTTTCAGCCTGGGGTAAGAGAAGCAGAGGACTTACCAAACAAATGCAACTTAGACATGGATCCAAGACAGAGGGGAAGGTTTCGTTGTTATAGAAGATCTTCCCTGCATAGGTACAGCCTTTTGTTGTGAAAGGGAAAAACATATTTACTTGGTCAGCTTGAACCAGATGGGCTGTATAAAAGCTTTCAAGAAAGCATAAGACAAGTAGACATCATATGGATGGATTCTTGTTTGGGGTGGGTGGACAAAATAATTGCACAATGCCTTTTGATGAAAATCTTAGGAAATGTTCACCTGAAAGTACTCAGGTGTTAACATGGACAGCATCTGCTGCTGTTAAGTATCTATTGAGAAGAAGCTATCACAAAAAGTAATAGTTTTGGAAATTATTTGCTTGGCTTACGATGCCTTTGCCTATACATATTGTCTTCTCATAATAAGTATCAGGATATTTTTTAAAAAAAAAAATAGGAATGTTCATTTGATAGATTTCTCACATTTATATATGAACAGAACAATATTCTGTCTTCTTTAAAAGCAAAAGGCAGAGATAAGAAGCAGAACTAAATGGTATGTCCGCTGTCTTCATTTTCTGTACAATCTTGATATAAAATGTTAAAAATTATGTAAGCATCAGTTTTCAAAATAGCTGTATTCATGTTCATTACAATAAATATTTGGTTTCCCTAAGAAGAAAACAGCTTTCTGAAAAGATGGAATTTTACCTGCTGAGCAATCTGGACAACACTGTCCAGGGATTCGGATTGGATGAGGACACATCTCCAAACAATCTGTCCTCTTACAGCTCACTGAACCATCCGCCTGTAACAGAAAAGAACTTCACAGAAACCCACAGCACAAAATACTGGTCTGTTGTGGGTAGACAGGCCCTCCATTGCCTCCATCCTGACAGAAGCATCAGCCTTCTATTAGTTGTCTTCAAAAGGTTCTAGAGGTCTTCTGTTATTTTACACCCAATAAGGTGAGTGTTGGATGGTATCATCTTGGCTGCATTGATTACAATCTTAGCATTCATATCCTAGAGCCTCACTGGTGTTCTGCCTGCACTCTGCAATCAGGATTAGCCCAGAGATGCCTAGTTTCAGGCATCGGTGTAATAACAGAGAAGGTGTCATCACTTCTACCAATGAAGCCTATGGGGACATCATAGCAAATGAGCAGGTGGCATCTGGAATACTGGGGCAAACTGAGAAATTACTACTGGACCAGGAGATTGCAAGCAATGAAGAGACAATGACAAGAAAGGAAGTGCAAGACTGTTAAGTGTGAATCTAATGACTTAAAATGTGAATATGTATCAGTCTATCTGGCCAAAGATGCCAAAACTTAGAGAGCACCAGTGCCACTTCTCCTTCTGAATAATTCTAAAAATGCAAAATGTCACATTGTCAGGTGGTAATGCCATCATTCAGCGTAGCCTTATATACCTTTGAGTGAGCATTGCCACCAGGCAATGGACACTCCCCCCCTAGCCATTTTGGCTTAGTCTGCAGGAAAAACCAGACCCCTGATAGCTAGTGGATCTGCTCATGTAATGCACAGCTGATACTTGTCAGTCTGAGGCTGATTCTTGAAAGGCTCTTTTTGAAAGAGCAATAGACCATTTTTAAAAAAAATCAGATTAATCCTAGTCCAGTGGTATATGAGGGATCTTTAGTGCTCTCTGAGCTTGCTTGTTTTCTTGCAGATATTTCATTAGCACTGATGATGTTATGTAGTTTGGGTAATGAAACGTCTGCAAGAAAATGAACAAGCTTAAAGAGCACCAAAGACCCCTCACGTCACTCTTAAGCTACAAATATTCTCCTTTATTACTACCATTGCTTTGTAGAAGATCAATTTCAGCCAGGAAGCAATGGACTCTGAGAGCTGTGAATTGCTGGTTCTGTCAATAGTGAATGGTAATTGTTTTCCCCACTGACAGGAGCACTTGGTGTGAGGAGAAATTAACCCAAGTGGCTTCCTTTCACTTCCCTTAATTTTCCCAGCATTAAAACAGTAAAAGGGCAGCCTCATTATTGAAGCAGACTATGGATTGTCACAGAAGGTAACACAATATACACCAAGATACTTTTTGTCCAACTCAGATACTGAAGGAGACTGCATTTAATAGAATGACTCTGCCCAATATGTACTAGAATGCACAGGCAAACACAACTGGAGTTTGAGTAACAATCTTTAAAGTATCTATCTGCATCTTTGCTGGGGAATGTTAAGGAGCTATAATAGCAAAGACAGGATAAAAATCTGGTGATGATGATAAAATAATATTAATAATAATATAATAAAAATATCATGCTATAGAAGACTGGAAGGTTAAAACTAAGTGAAATAGAGCAGGTTATCATTCACCTGGCAGATGCATAACTCACAGGGATCACCCGGTGACCAGAGCTGTCCCACTGGAAATTCAATTCCGTTGTCATCTATAAAGCAACCTGGTCCAGAAAAGAGAGACAATGAAAAGGAACATCTCAGAAAAGATAAAAGGCTCTCTCTAACCAGCATGCTTGCTAGGAGAAATATTACCAGCAATTTACATCATGGTTACGTCTATGGTTGTAAAAGAGAATCAAGATCTGCATGGATGGCTAGTTAGATATTTGGTTTGATGTATTCTCTGTTCCTAATCATGAAGAAAGTAATGCACTGTGAATTTTTTGCTACAACTCCTAGAGAGACTTCTAGGGATTGTGATCCAATGTTTTTCTACTTTCCTTCCTTTATACTGGCTCTGGCTGGGCCAGAGCTACAAAAGACTCTTCCTGGGGTAGGGACAATGCCAACAGCAGGGCCACTTCTGAATGACTGGTTCCAAAGAATGCTTTCCTCTTAGGGAGATCAGAAGCCAAAATTATACAGTCTACTAATTTTATTTGACTTTATATTTGCATGTGCATTGATGCTTGTTTGCTGTGTGTATCTTATCATTTTGTGTAAGTATTGAATGCATAGATGTGGATGTTGGTGATACTACTGGGTCCTTAAGGGAGGAGAAAGAGAACAAGAATAGGATGCTCTTGTTGAAGCAATTTTTGGACCATATGGAGTATGGATAAAGTTTGCATTGTGAAAATTAACTAGATAAAGAAAACGTATATTAGATGTTCAAAAATTATCCTGTGTTTTAATCCCCTTTCATCTAGAGAAAAATTGTCAGATCAGTCTGCCTTCTGGTTTATGGACTACTTTTTTAAATTTAATACATCACACAAAAAAGCTTAAAAATTAAAAATGTAAACTAAATGAAATTAAGGAAAACTTTGTACCTTATACATTAGATTTATGAATAGTTTATGAATAGTTTATTCATTCATTTCAGCAATGAATTCACTACTACAGTATAAACAATAGAAGATATTATTGTAAGATATCACAAAATCTCTCCCATAAGAAAAATATACTGCTCTGCTGCATCCTTTGATTAGTAAAAAATATTGCTTTCTCCAAAACACATAGATGCATATTTCTGACAACCATTTTTTGGCATCTGGAATAATATCACCTTTTCAGTTTCTTGATACTGTATAATTATTTTGCTTGACTCCCTCAATGCTCGATGCAATCACAATAAAGAATCAAATTCCAGGGACTTCTGGTTTGTCGGCTTCGCGAGCGGCAGGGATTCGCGAAGCTGCGCGATCCCTGCTGCGCTAGCCGCTTTTGGGGCTCCGATCCGGACGGGTGCGGAGCTAGGCTGCCCTGCAGGGGCAGCTGAAGGTAGGGGGGATCTGGAGAAGGGTTTGGGGGTGTTGCAGACCCCCTCCCCGGCCGGCAGAACCCCCTTTTCCCAGGACGGTGCAGCGGCGGTCCGTAATGGCCGCCACAAAGAAGCTGGCAGCCGGGTAAGAATGCGCAGGAGGAAGTGGAGAAAGTTTTTGAAAGGAGAAAGTTTTTCTTGGTTCCTAGGACTCTAAGACATATTTAACAAAATTCCTGAAAAGTATGACTTTCTGAATGATACCTTCTAGAAGAGGAAAAAAGCGGCAGTTTGATGGTGCTGAAAGGAAAACTTACCCTCTTTTCCTACGGAATAAATAAGTGAATATTAAGAAACCTATTTTTTTAGGTGAAAACTGGCTTTAAGCGATGAGTGGGAAGAGAGAGGACTAAAAAAAATAATATTTGTATGCTAAGATTGTTGGAGGAGATGCCTTAAGGATTTGAAGACTAAAATATATTGCAATAAGACTTTAAGAAACAGATTTGGACTTTCTTTGTTTCTGATTGATACTACCCCAGAAGGAGAAAGTGAGAACTCTGCCTTGGTTTGGACTGATTGATAACTTTGGGACTGTTTTATTTTTTCTTTGGAATATTCTGGTTGTTGTAAGAAGAAAGAAGGGGAAAAGAAAAGAAAAGATTTATAATGGCTCCTTCTATTGAGGAACTGAGAAAAGATTATGAACAAGCAAAAAAAAATGGTAAAGCTGGTTTGAAAGAAGCCTTCCTTTTTTTAGAAATGGCGCTTATTAACTATCAACAAACATTACAACAGATGAAAACAGCAGAAGAAGAAGAAGGAAAGGAAGCCATTTTTAATAAATCTCAGAAATCGACCAAGAAAGAAGTAAGAGGGAAAGGAAGAGAAATTAAGGACTTAAGATTTAAAAAAACACTTAAGAAAGGGAAAAATAAGGTGCAAAATCAATATAATGATAGTAAACAAAAGGGAAAAAGAACACGACAGAGAAGGGAAGCCAGTAAGGCAGAGGCTAGAAGAAGGGGGGGTAGAAAGGTTTGTTGGGAGAAGAAAGGAAGGGAAAAGGTGGAGAAAAGCTACAAAGTTTTGAAATTAAATGGGAAAAAAGGAATCTTTTTTAGGGATAAAGGATAAAGTATAATTTCTTCAAAAGATTTTGCAAGGTACATAAGATGATATTGTAGTATTGTATTAGAAATAGAAAACTTAAATGGTTTAAGAGTTGATAAGAGATTAAAATGGTGAAATGTTTAATAATGATTGGTTTTAGAATTTAATAATATGAGGGGAGGTTCAGAATATTGAGTTTTAATTAAAGAGTTTAATAAGATTATGGCATTGATGTTATTATAAAATTTCTATTATAGTATTTGTTTTTAATATTCAGATCTATTGTTTAACTATGTATTTAATTATTCTGGATGTACTATTTAGATAGAATGTACCAAGCAAAATCGGATTGGGTATTGGGTGCTATTTTAAAGGTTTATTTGATTAATTTAGGGGGGAGATAGAAAGGCATCATACTCTGATTAGTGATTTCAAGAGAAACTTCTTTTTTTTTTTTTTAAAGGAACGAGACAAAGGGACAATAAAGAATGGACAAAAGATACAAATATAATGACTCAAATTAAGATGATTAATTAAGATAGAATTAAGAAGAGTGAAATATGTGGAGAAGTTAATATAGAAGACTTAGAATGGTAAATAAAATAAGTAATGATAGGTAAGATGAGCATGAATATAATTGAAGTCCATGAAGAGAGAGATACCTGGGTCCAAGTTGCTTTCCAAAAAGATCTTTTTTATGTTTTGTGTGTTGTGTGTATATGGTTTTTTTTTGGGGGGGGGAGAATTAATAAAACCTTGCAGAAATATAGAATGAGAATAATGGTAACTAAGTCAGAAAGAAAAAGATGAAATAATAATAATGAAATGGAATAAGAGTAAAGAGAAGTAAAGAGAAATTGGATAAGAGGTTTTTGTATGTTTATATGGAAATGGTTTAAAATAGAATTATAGTTTATCTGACTTGTTAAATTTATAATGGAAAAAGGTTTAAACATGTAATGGATAATGATGATTTGTGTGTTTTGAAAAAATTAATAAAACTTGTTTTTTTTAAAAAAAGAATCAAATTCCAAAGCTTTGGTATATAATTTAACATTACATTAACATCTTTATGTATATTAATTAAATACAGGTAGTCCTTGACTTACAACAGTTCGCTTAGTGGCCGTTCAAAGTTACAACAACACTGAAAAAAGTGACATGACATGATTTACATTCGGATGCTTGACAACTGATTCATATATATGAAGGTTGCAGTGTCCTGGAGTCATGTGATCTCCTTTTGCAACTTTCTGACAAGCAAATTCAACAGGGAAGCCAGATTCAATTAATAACCATGTTACTAATTTAATAGCTGCACTGATTCATTTAACAAATATGGAAAGAAAAATCGTAAACGGGGCAAAACTCACTTAACAAATGTCTCACTTAGCAATATAAATTTTGTATACATTATTATTACATTAATACACATTAATATATATTCCCCAAAAGATATAAATGATATTCCATTATTCCATTAATCTTCGCATCATAGATGTATACTGTATGTTCTTGTGTCAACCCTGATGTGAACCTGACTGAGGCCATCTTGGAGGCTTCATGGTTGCCACACAATAGAGGGAGGGGGGAAAATAGTTAATGGGGTATTTTAGCCAAAACAATAAATTTTCCTGTGGGAACCAAAGACATTCTCACAGGTGGCTGGCCAGAAGAGGAGTGAAGTAACAAAGCAACCAGCCAGCAAATGGATTGGACAGCATGATCAGTGACTTGGGGGAAAGGGAAACTTTTACTTTTAATTAGGTGAAAGCCACGGGAACCTTTAGAGTTGGCTTTCACCGGTTGTGCCAATATGATGTATCCAATAAACTGTTGAGGAATATGCCTGCCTTGGAGTTCTGCTTTCTATGGATGCATTACTTGAATGCTGACATCTTGCAGGCTGGCTGCAGGCGTCTCACCTGTCAAGAGTGCAGTCTTTCGGCAGGTGAAGCAGCACTGTCCTGGAGCCAACAGCCAGTCCTCACGAGGACATCCCGGGGTGGGGCATGGAATGAAGGAGCACTCCACTTCACCTTGCTGAAGAAGAACCAGGTACCATTATTAATGAAAAGGATACAAAGAGGAAGTCACCAAGACAGGTGCCCACAATTTCTTTTTAACATATATTTTTAATTAGGGAAATCTCTCAAGCTATGCAGAATTTCTCTAATGATTTTCTGGATCTGTTTCAATTTGGCTTCCAACTGGAAACTCACTCGAACTCACATTGTCATGGTGTCGTCACGTGATGTCTTGTGACTTTTTTCCCCTTTTGCTAAAACAAGTGTGGGCATTGCCAGCGTGTGATGCATCCAGCCTGCGGGCCACGAGTTTGACACCCCTGAACTAGAATATACAACTAAGAATTCCAGAGTCACCTTAGTAAGCAATCTACTGTTGGCAGCAGCTGGATGAAACAGGATGCCATCTATTTATTATTTGTCTTATTTGTGTACCATCATTCTTAATACCATTCAGGACTACTTCAGTTATGTACAAGGGTTAGTATTTGTAGAATGCTTTCCCACATAACAATATTCTTAGTCCAAATAGCTCCATATTTAGAAAAAGTATTTAAAAATCTCCAGAAATATGCTCTTGGAGTTGTCTCATGTGATTTTAGATGTTATATATTTTTAAACTGAGTTTGACTATATTTATTTATTTATTCATTTGTTTATTTATTTTTGCATTTTTAATTTGTCACTGCTTTCAGTGCTATGACAAAAGAAAGATATGGCATGATTTTTTAAAAATGCTTCAACATTTTCTACCTGGCCCCTTTCTTCTTTGCCACAGAGCATTGGAGGGCTATTAATAAGCTTCCCCTTTGGAGGCCTCATTTAGCCAATTTCACAGTTGACATATAGTTCTGGAATAACAATAAAACTCATGTAATAATTTAAAGTTTCTTCAGTGAATCGGACAAAATGTTTCTCCTTGAACAGATAAGAAAAGTTACAAGGGTTTAAGGACAACCAGAAAGAAAAGATTAAAGTCATCCTTCTAAATAATTGAAATGCATGGTTTCTCAGGTAAAAATGATGTAAAGCATAGACTTAAGCTGCTGCCAATGTTTAGATTTCATCATATGCTTTTCATTGGGAGAGATAAAAATGTAAGCCTATAACAGTGTGTATTTGTGTGCACATAAGAGAAAGAAATCAAGAGAGACTGTGTGTAAACTAAGTGAAAGAAAATTAATATGAACATCCTCTGAGATAAGTAAAAGTACACATGAGAAACTGTAAAAGATGTATAGAGATGTCTGAAATATTGATAGAAATGTAATTGTAAAGAAGATACGTCTTATCATGTTTGGTGGACTTGTGATAAAGAAAGAAATATTGGGGCCAGATTTATATTTTAATTCAGACAATTTTTAAAACAAAATGGAAACCAGAAGTTTTCTTTTTAGGATTATTGGACAAAGAGCTTGAAAAACAATTGGAACTTTGTTATTATATACATTGACTGAAGCGAGAATTTTATATGCACAATAATGGAAAGATATGTCAATTCCCACAATGGAAAAATGAATGGAAAAATTGATGGAGAGAAGGCAAAATTAATTGTTTTAATAAAAGAAAATAATACAGTTTTATTTCTACTTGAAAGCACTTGTGGACTTTATGCTCAAAACAGAAAAAAATGTTTGATTCTGACTTTTGATATTATAGAAATGGCTAGTACTTACTAAACATATTAAATAAAAAAATGAGGTTGTAGCTATATTTTCTATTTTACTGCACTGAAAAAAGATTGGAAGTCACTGCTTTTGTTTCTTTCCCTCTTATCTTGCACATTTTTCCTCTTTCTTTTTCCTCAGTCCATTGTTATCCTTGTTTTTATGTATTTATATTACAATAACTTCATGTTTTTTTTAAAAAAGGAAGATGAGTAAAGGTAGATAAAACACATACCCTGCACACACAGATAGTACAGTTATCACCATCTGGGTTGAACTCGGTCCCTTCTGTGTATATTTGCCCATGGAAATGACATTCTGCTGCAGAGGAAAGCAACAGGTCAGTCCTGCTATAGAAGATTCATTGCAGGAAAGAGTAATATGACACAGGTGATCTTTCCATAGAAAAGAGTGGCATTGTTGACCAGATAAAGGACCAATTAATCTATGGTATTACAAATAAAACATCTTTTTTGAAAGTAGCGTAATCCCGGGTTACATTTCTTCCTACAGACACAAATTCAAGTTCATGCTCATTTTTATATTCTATTCCATATCTTATTACTATTTTACATTTTCTGCATAGCTTCTCCCCTCTTTTAATTTTCTCAATTTTATTTTAATTATCTCATCTCAATTCAAATCATTGTATTTATATTTTTTGTCTGTCCTGTTTCAATTATCTATTATCTTTTCTCATTAAACAAAATTTCTCCTGTAGTTACTGATTGGAGTATGACGCCTTTATATCTTTTAAGTTTATCCATTTAACTCTTATTTAGGCTTCAATATGTTATAACATTCAATATAATACATAACTTCCATTCTGATTCTGCTTGGTACATTCTTAAAATACACCCTATATTCTTAAAAAAAGGAAAAAAATTATAAATGTATATAATTAAAACAACATTCCATTCCAATTCAATTCTATCATTAATATTAATATTCATTAAAGTCTTAACATCTTTAACATTACTTTTCAATTAAATATCATACTTCTATGGGAACAATTATAAGCTTTCCATAGTTAATTCCCCCCCCTTCACTTATATTTTATAAAACATTAACTAATTAAAATGTTCCCGTTCCTTCCTAATTCAATTTTCTCATTTATTTTATTTCACTTATTTTATTCACAAACATTTCACTAAATTACACTAACTATTTTATCCCTCATTTTAATCATACGTTGTTTCCAATTTTCTAAAGTTATTTCTATTACTAATATAACAATACAATCTCATCTACCTTTACAGAATCCCTTTTTCAGTTAGATTTTCACACATTATCTCTAAATAGGTCCTGTTTCTCTATATCTTGCTCCGGTCCTTTGTAACTTCTTTTCCTTTCCTTCTTCCCTCTCTTCTTCTTTCTCCCCTTTTTACCCCCTTGTCTCTCTACCTCTATTTCTCTCTTCTGTATTCCCCTTTTCTGTTGCTTTCCAGTATTATACTTATTTTTCGAATTATTTTTCTTTTCTTTGGTTGTTTTTTTAAGTCTTAAATTCTCCATTCTCTTGCCCCCCTTTCCTTTTTCTTCCCCACATAGAATTACTTGTTCATTAAAGATGGCTTCTTCTTTGTCCCAGTCTTCTTGTTTTGCAGACGTTTCTTGTTGTTTCTCATACTTCCAAATCTCCATTTCTAAGAATTGAAAAACGAAGCCAAAAGAACCCTTCCCTTCTTGTGCATCTTCTTTGTACTTTTTAAGTTCCATTTTCAATTCATCCAGAAGTGGTGCCATTGTATAAATTTTTAAACAACCACCCGATTAATTTTAGTCATTCAAATGTAATAACCAAGAATCCAAAGATTACCAAATAATCCAAATACACATAAGCTGTTTCTTTTTTTTTTTCACTTTCTCTTCCTGGGGTTACTGTTTAGTTACAAAGTTTCAGTTAAAATGTATCTTTTAGAAGTCTTGTTGAAGTTTTACTGTAGATTCTTTTTAATTCCTGGCAGTCTCCTCCCTCTTCCAGATCCTGCCCTTATTCTTTTTCTCTCCCTTCCTGCTTCTGGAAAAAAAATGTAGTGTCCAGAAATCTTTATTATCCCTTTGACATTTTGTTTTATTTTCAGCTTAATTGCCTATTGATGTCAAAGCGGATTTTTCTGATTTCTTATTTAAGTCTCTTAGTTGTCAGTATAAGGAAGGAGAGAGAAGAAGAAGAAAAAACAAACCTTTCCCTTTTCACTTTCCTTCGCTGCTTCAGACTCTTCTTTGGGAGCGATGTTATTTTTTTGTAAGTTTAAATTCCAGGGTACCTTAGTTGTTGCTTTTACAAGTTGTTGCTTTTACCTGGTCAGCCAAAACTTTCACATCTTATCTTTCTCCTGCACATTCTTTTCCGGTCAAGTTCTTCTTTGTGGTGGCCATTTCTGACCACCGCTGCAACTGCCTTCGGGAAAGGGAGTAATGGCCAGCTGAGGAGGAGAGATGCGGCTCTCCTCAACCCTGCTGGTGGTCTCCCCCCTCTTCACCACCTCTATGGGGTGGCTTAGCCCCAAAACCAGCCGGCTTGGGGCACTCCAGCGGCGAGCCCAGACCAAAACCACGCACGATCGCGGATTTCTGTCTGTCGCCGAAGAGACTTCAAACCAGAAGCCAAATATATTTATTTTTTTCACAGCAGAAAAAGATCTTTCATTTACTTATTCTATGCTATCCAACCAATGTTCCGTTCATTGCCTTAATCCTTACTTCAGCTGAATGTAGTAAATTGCCTTGGAAGTTTTTAAAACTGAAAAGCAGCATAGAATTTAGATGTAGGCTCTTTTCATTTATTGCCCTCCTGGTCAGTAGATTTGTAGAAAATGTTTTGCTTTCCTTACATCATGTAATAGAGTTCTCCCTGCATACAATATGACTAAAAGTTATTTTATTCATGGTTCCTTCCACTAAGAACACTAGAACTAGGACCAAACTTCTGACCTTGTACTTACTTTCTATGTGCAGGTTATTCTCCACCACTACCACAACCAAATCACGACATAATCACTTACTCCCTATTTGCATGTGAAGAGGACAGTTGTACTTCAGATAATTATATTTACTTGATATTTCCATTATTTATTGTTTTATTTATTTATCACTTTTTTGAGGAAAAAAAATTCCATTTCACTTATAGAGGAAAGCACTTGAAAAGTCTTTATACTATGAATCCTAGCATCACCTACTCATAGGATATCCTACTTGTTTGGATTAAATCTTTCTAAGAATGACTTCCAGGGGTGGGATTCAGCCAGTTTGCACCAGTTCAGGAGAACCGGTTGCTAACTTTCTGAGCAGTTTGGTGAACTGGTTGTTGGAAGAAATCATTAGGGCAGAAAACCAGTTGTTAAATTATTTGAATCCCACCACTGATGACTTCCCACCATTTCCACCCTTCTTGCTTTACACTGTCTCTAAAAAACAAGATGTCTTCATGGCAATAATTAAGTAATTGAGAGACATCTACCTGGCTGGCAAGGACAACAATCAGTCTGAGCAGAACTGGGACATGGACTGGGTGTACATTCTGGAGAAATACAGGAAATGTTTCCTGCCTGGAATGAAAAACAAACATTAAAATGCAGTTTGTTTGATTTTTCATTTTCTGCAATGCAGTTTCAGCCTAATGTCATATCTGGATTATATTTGTGAATGTGTACCATAAACTTGTGGCATCAAGATAATTTAGATTTCAGCCACTATAATTTCTAGGCAACAAGATAAGAAAAAACTGTGACAAAGAATGAATGGATTGTTGTGAACATAATTCTTCTCTTCCCAAATACTCACACCCATTGTTTCCATTAAATTCCAAATTCTCCTCACTCTGGACCACCTCAGTGCATTTTGCCACCTCAGATAAACAGTACATGCTCTACGTCAAGTGTTTAGTACCAAGACCACCAACACTATTTTCAGCTTTGAGACAGAGACATCCTACAAGCTTCTCTTTGGCAATCAATACAAAATCAATTAAATTAACACTGGAGAATATGCTCTCCTTTTGTGACACCTACTGCCTAACAGTAGGATTAGTATTGCTCCTAGCCATGATGTGGCTGGTAAAGAGTCTCAGTGCATCTCACCTATAAAATTGCCCCTTGGAAAAACTCTGCTCACCCAATCAATTCTATGCACTCTTCCTGGATAGCAGACTTCAACCACTGGAGACAGGCATCCCAGTGGTTATGTGGATAAGAGTGCTAACAATGAAGGCTGAAAAGGAAGAGAGTACAGCTTGTAGTGAGGGGTTTGTAAGGGCCATGGGAGAAGGATAGTAACACACTATATCCTGCTCCTGCCTATGGGATCCTTGTACAAGTTTAAAATCAAAGGGAACCCTCCTTGCATCTTACTTGAACCCTCTGAACAGTCAGGTTCAGAAAAGGCATTTGGGTGGCATGAAAGCAACATGAAAATGCAAGTTTGATAGAAACTAGAAAGCATTTTGTCTTTCACTATAGTATTGTTCTCCCCTCTTTCTGTACTTTTTTAAATTTTTTGGCATCTTTGACAAATAGTTGAAAATCAGTGACCCAAGATATGGCTACATTATAAAATAATGTGGGTCTGAAACTTCATGTTAAATTGGATAATAATTTGCACTCTAAAGTAAAATGGAGGAGGGGGGAGGAGGAGGAGGAAGAGGAGGAATAATTCCATTTCTTAATTCAACACTGCTTTCTGAGCTATTGCCCATCAAAACATTTACAGGTTTCAATACAATGTTGTTAGATGGCTCCTAGCAGCTGAAGATACCAGTGTTAGCAAGTATTAATTTATATGTCCTCAAAGAAATACCAGCCCCAACTCCCTGAGGCTCACCAGGCAGACACAGACTGTGCAGTTCTCCTCAGAGAGAGAGAATACGTCCCCTTCAACTCTGGACATCCCATAATAGAAACAGCCTGTAGGAAACAGGAATGAGAAGATTCTTCTCTGAAGGGACAAGAACTAAGGGAAATAGGCCCCATTATACTTTTTCTTAACTGGGAAAATTTACAGCTATTTTTGCTTAGGTTAAAGTAAGTCTAGGTTAAGGAATATCTGTAGGTACCAGGATATGGTACTCCATCTGATGGTACTCCATCTGATGTCCATAATGATTGAGAGCTATAGCAACATTGTGGTTGGATTTAGTTCAGCTCAATTCACCCTTAGCCACAGAAATTAACTAGTGTTTTTGGGCCAGTTTCTCTCTCAGCTCAACCTGCCTCACAGGATTCTTTTTGTGGGGAAAAATAGATGAAGGGAATGCTATGTACGCTGCCTTGAGCTCCTGAAGAAAGGTGGGATATCAATCTAATTAAGAAATAAATTCACTACATTAGAAATGGCTGAAATTGCCAAACCTTACAAGGTTCAAACAATACTAGAATCAACTGATATTACTGAAATCTTTTAAGACCTGAAAATCTCATGATATTTTGACCAATTAAACTTTTTAATTTTAAAATTGGTGGGACCATGCCATTTTTTTAAGCTGTCAATTAAAAGTGGTCTAAAAAAACTGTCCTACAATTTGCTAACTGTACACAGAATGTTGCATAGCTGGATACCAGAAGTCAAGCTTGACTCACGTGAACATTTACCTTCTACACAAAATATCAGGTTGCCCAAGACATGGCACCTGTGTGAATAAAGATGCATCAACCTTCTGCCCAGCTTTCAGATGCCCTAGTGAATGAGGTGAACCACAAAGTATGACAAGTCAGGAAACTTAGACCAAGTTTTATATAAGTCCCAAGAAACAAAAATGTTAATAAAAATAGGAATGGGGACTTACCAAGCTAAGAAATTAGGGACTGCTTCTGATCTATTGAGGGGGAAGGGGGTATATGGTGAAAATCCTCCATGGCTAGAACAAGGGAAGGCCCGCATGATCCAATCTGACACAAGCATATAGAGCCGTGATGGCTAACCTTTACATCGTGTGCCAAAAGTGTGTGAGCACATGCATGTGCAGGCGTGTGCCTGCACCCATAATGCAATGCACACGTGACCCCCCCCACCCCTGCGCATGCACGCGCTACCCCCAGCGCACACTGTGTGCCTATGCACATGCGCATGAGACCCCTGCGTGCCCCTGCCCCCCATGCATGCGCTGCAGATACCCAACAATCAGCTGGCTGGCGGGAGGAACACGCGCATGTGCAGTGGATCTGTTCCGAGCGACGGCTCGCAAGCCGGCAGAAATGGCTCTGCGTGCCACTTCCAGCACGCGTGCCATAGGTTCGCCATCACAGTTATAGAACCTTGATCTGATGGGTGCTTCTCTCACCTGTGCAGGCAGGACAGCATTCTCCCTGGGCTGGGGGAATTGGGTGAGAGCAGGAAACGTCACATGTCACTGTTTGACAAAACACTTGTCCACCCTGAAATAAGACAATACAGACAGTACCAACATAATACTTGAAGTTGGAGAGTAAGATAAGAACTCAAAATATGCCATGTACCTCGCAGGAGCAATTCAGACATGGTGGCTCTGTCCAGGAGCTGTTATCTTCACGAAGAACTCCTCCATGCCAGCAGGCAGATGGAATTGAGGGAGTCAAAAGGCTTGTGGGAATGGATGGGCTAAACGTCTTTGGTAACACTGGTGACAGAGGACTTGCTGGCAGAGAAGGCTTGGCAGTAGAGGTACCAAAAGATGAGGTGTGGGGAGGGGATGAGGAGGTGGGAGAAGCTGTTGATAGAAGCACAGAGAGAATGGGAATGAGCGGAAAAGGAAATGGGGTTCCAGGTACACTTGAAGGAGCAAGTGCTGGGGAACCCCTGGGGGGCAAGACAGGCCCTATGGATTCTGGAGAAAGGCGTAGGAGAGTCTGCGGCTGCTGAAGAGACTGCAAAATGGGAGAAGGGGCCAGGCTGGACTTTGAGAAACCTGTGAGGCAGGAGGGAGGAACAGGGAAGAGAGAGAAAGAGAGAAATTGTCTTGTGGTAAACCAGGCAGTAAGCATGACTAGATAAACTAATTCTACTTTATTGTAAGGCTACATTAACAGAATCTTGCTAATTCTGAAGTACAGACTTACTTCCACTACTTTTAACTGCCCAAACAATTAAAGCAGATCCTTCCTAAGTTACTTCTTTTGACTGTTAATCCATAGCGGGCTCTTCCCTTGCTTGTCTAATTGCTTCTAGGTAGCATATCTTCCCTTCATTTCCCAAGGTCATTCACACACTCCATTACAGAAATGGCCAATTATATTCAGAAATCCTCCCCACCTCCCCACCCCACACTTTGCCCAAAATACACAGCTTCCAAATCACTGTTGGGAAGATATTTCTACTCCATCAATAAGAGTTTTTACACTGTGCTCTCAATTGTGCCTTTTACCTAGCTTTTGACTCCAATCTTATCTAATTACAAAAACAGAGGCTTTTAAAAACCCTTTTTAATGGAACCCAAAAGGGTTGCTAAATTCTGTATCTCTAGAGTAAACGAAATCCCATTTTGAAAAAAATGAGAGCATCTGTCAAAACAAACTGCTTATGGGGCAGATAGAATATTGAGTAGAGATTACTAATTTCTGTTTATCTGCTAAAAAGTTCATATTAAAAACATCATTTAAGAGACACTCAGAGAAAAAAGATGCTTTTGAAAGATGCAGACAAAAAGCTTCTTTTTATTTTAAAAATCAAGTGCATAGAGTGAAAATATGTATTGCAAAATTATACTTCAGGGAAAATTATGTAACAAACCAAGTCAGATAAATTTGTATTAAAATGTTTCTTGGAAATGATTATCAATGTAATATGAACTAAGGGTGATTGCATACAGCACTCTACATGACAAAATATACTATTTAAAACTGCTGCAAGTTATTTTACAGAACTTTTAAAGCACATTTTAAAAAATCCTGGAAGATGGAATGTTCCTGCCTGCTTGCCTACCTGCCTACTTTCCTATTTAGAAAAATAAATCTCTGCCCCCAGAAAGTGATCTGGTGAGCTCCACATGCTGAGGGAAGATAACTTAACCCAACAGACTGAGAACCCTATTTCAATAGCCTCTTTGAACTGATCTTGGTTTTTTTGAGTTGGACAAGAACCAGTAGGCATAACTAAGACCACTGGGGATCCCAACAAGAAGAAAGGAGATGAATTTTGATTGATAGTTGTCATACTGTAGTTCTGTTCCATAGGAACAATACATTTGGCAAAAGCACTATCACTGGTGAAACTCAACAGGACATAGATGAGATGAGCAAGAAAGTGGAAATAGCATGCTAACTGAGATTTCTAGAGGAACAAATGGAGTCACCATCCTAGGCAGTTTACAGCAGCAAGCCAGTCTCTGCTGGGCTAAATCACTTTGGCTTACTAAACATATGTGGACTGGATTTACACATGTTCAAACATCTCCTTGTTCTCCCATTGCTCACATACATATTCCCATAGTCTCAGGACTTTTCTAGTTGATCAGTTTTTACCACAATAAACAAATAATTGATGCAATGCAATGCAAAGGATCAAGAAGGCTTTCTTGTAGGTTGAACTATATGGCAGTCCTTACCTTCACAAGACAATCTGTCCACACTGAGTCGGTAGCCTGGATGACAGCTGCACATAAAACTCCCCAGAGTATTGTGGCAGGAGTGTTGGCAGGTTCGCTTCTCACTGGGTCGGCGGCATTCATTCACATCTGCACCAGACAGACAGGGCATCACAGGCTTACAGCACAGCTAGACCAGATCAACCTTGTAGCTGTGCAGATATGCTTGTTGCTTAGCCATAAAGGGCTAGAAAGTATAATATATACATACAAACTACGCAACAGATAGCATATAGATAAGGAATAACTGGCTCTCTTTTAATTTTCTTAATTTTCCTTAGGAATGGGAAATTAATCTTCTGTGAACTTACAGTGCTTTGTATCATTTGCTTAAATCACTGTAGAAGCAGAACAACAAAGGTTCAACAAATGTGGTGGTGGGAGGGGAGAGAAAGGCTCTGTGTTGATATCAAAGGAGAGAGTGTGGGTTGAAGACATGCTTTTGTGCAAATGCTTGGAAAGCAAAAGAAAAGACCAGGGATAAGAAGGGAGAGCAAACTCTAAAAGGAAAAAGCAGCCATTGGCAAGCTGGCCCACAAAGAACCAATCTGCTCCTGCAGTAACCTTAGCTCAGCAGTAAGGCAGCCCTGTGATCCACCCACTGAAATCCAACCTGGAATATTTAAAATCAGCTTCAGAGACAGTCAGGATCAGAATAAAAGAAGGGAAAAATAGGCTGCCATAGGAAACTGCTCAACCACATTGTGATAGCCAAAATCTGGGTCACCTAAAGCAACCAAAATCACTTTGAAGGTACAACATCATTTTATTAGCATGCAAACAATAAAACAGGCTTCCAGCAAAGCACTAGTAGCTTGCTGGACAGACCAGAGCAAAGCAAAATCAGACATGATGTACTCTAGGGAGTCTAGGTCTACTACATTGCAAAGAAAAGAAAAGTCAGACACAGTAGAAATTGCAGCATGCCATTGGAAAATATTTTGATAAGCCCATCTGAGTGACTTTAATAGTTAGTATTTGTTTGTTTTATCAAATTTCTGTACTGGCCATATCACCTAAGTCTCTCTATATTCCTTCCTACTAGGTCAGAATGCTGTGCTATTTCAGAGCTATGGTCAGTGAATAGAAACAGGTTGGCTGCAAGTCCTTGACTGATTATTTTCCATGTCATCACTCAGGACCAATTCAGCTTGCTATTAATATTTTCTTATAAAGACACCTTAAAGAAAATGTCATGGAGGTTTTCAGTCATCCAGGTCATGGTTATCCCAAAAGTTACTTTTTTCATGCAGCAACTGGAGTTTTTTTGAACATCTTCAAGAAAAATCAAGAAAGTCTGCTTGCTGTTTAAGCAGTAAGTGTAGGGAGGGTACCTTGTACCATCACAATATTGAACAGGAAAACTTTTCCATCATTATTTCTCAATGTGAGAAAATTTATCTGCTAAACCTAGATATGTGATACTGTCAGGTCTGATACAAAGAACAAAGAACTCAAAGAAACTAATCAGCTCTTTTTAAATGTGCAGTTTTAGAAGCCCAAATAGTCTTGTCACTTTGATTTGTAGCTGCAAACCATACTGCAGCCTCCTGGAGTCTCAGTCAAACATGCTGTTCCTCAAAACTAAAGCAGTGATGATAACATACCTGCCTGGACCTCATTTTTGAAATGAAATAAATCCTTCAAATCATTCAGTTCCAATTTGTTCTCCAAAAAGCTATAGCTGCCACAGACCTTTTAGGCTAGGGTAAACCACTGGCCTTAGAAGAAAGGTATCTGCTGGATACTCTAACAAAATAAGCAGAATCACTCACCCACACATGAATGTTGGTTGCCGTGAAGGTAGAATCCAGGATGGCAGGAACATTGATAGCTGCCGATGCTGTTTTGGCAGTGCTGCTGGCAAGGAGTTGTTAGGCACTCGTCAGTATCTGGGAGCAAGATGGTTAACACTGTTGGCCCATGACAATCTATCCTACCAACGTTCCTTCTGCAATTTTTTTTAAAAAACTTCATCCAGACCTCCCTTCCTGCAATTCCAGTCTGACCCACCTTGACAACTGTGCCGGTCAGTGGCGAGTTGCATCCCTGGGCCACATTCACACACAAAGCCCCCTTCTGTGTTCACACAAAGCCCCTCGCAGGAAGCACTCAGGCATTCATCAATATCTGCAGAAAAGATATTGTGGGTCAGCAAATATGAAGACAGGAAAAGTGACCAGCTGTACCAAAAGACAAAAATAGAGGGCTAAATGATCATAGTTGAAGAATAAGACATCTCACAGGTAGAATGACAGCAATGCATATAAAGACATCCCCCCCATTCCTTCCCTGGTATGGGGTGGGGTTTTCCAGAATCAATGGAAAACCTACTATGCATTCATATGGGACAGAGCCAACAACTTAGAGCTGGCAGGATACCATCTGGTGTAAACCAAACTTCCGTGTCAGGTAAAAAAGAGAATACTAGTTCTGCTTATTAAACATAGGTTAGAGCTTTTTTCCAAAGAATACCAAACCCTTATTTTAAAAGACAGCTGTAATGCTCTTTGTAAAGAGTGTTAAAGTCATGCATACAAGCCACCTATGTAGTGGATTGACCAGTGCTGTAGTCTGTGGAAATCAGGCATCCAGTCTCTCCAATAGCACAAATCAAAGTGCCCAAGGAAGACACTACTGAGTGATCAGAAGGTGGACTAGTTATAACAGGTAGTGGGCGGGATGGAGAACTTGAAAAAACATTTCAGAAGAAGGCAGTGCAAATCACTTTCCTAGTGTCATGTCTGTGGTGTTAGCAGTTGAGCTTGACTTGAAGAAGAGATTCCTTTTGCTTTTTGATTTCATTTTGAATCATTTTAGAACACTGAACCTATTACCACACATTTTCCCCTTAGCACAACCTCAATATTATTATTTTGGTCAGTGCCGGTTTAGCATTGAGTTGCTGATGTATTTGTGCATCTGTGTACAGAGAAAGTCTTTCAATGAAAAAGATTTGTAGCACATTTTCTTTTAAAAATGTATTAAACAAAATAAACATGTCACTGATCAAATGCCAAACACAGATACATTATCTTTCCCCCAAGTCACAAGTCTTATGCTCAAAAATACATTTCAGGATACCAAAATGCTGGACCAGTCAACATATATTACAATTATTGATCCAGCTTTTTATGAAGGTGCAGACAATTTTTTGGATGAGGGTGACCCCTTTTTGTTTCCTCTCCTTTCCTCCCCACCCCCACCCCTTAGGGAGTGTCTAAATATGGAAGGCTGAAATATGAAAGACTGACTCACATGACATATGATGTTAAGAGAATTGTTAGAACTGAAAATGTTGGACCTTCTGGTGACTTGTTTCTCATTTGGAGGCAAAAACGGGGAAATGATTGCCCATACCAGATTTGGATCTGGGGATGTTCTGGAGCCATAGTTGAGTAGCCAGATGTTGACCAATCTTGCTATAGCTAAAGACCAATGACTTCCTCGGTCTAAAAGTGTAAATATCCCCTGTGACTCTTGTTTTGAAGGTCCATTTCTCCTGACTCCCAGGGAGGGAGTTACCCCGGTTTCTGGCTTACCCACACAACGTACACCATTAGCTGTTTCAGTCATAGAGAATCCCAGAGGGCACACTCTTGCCACCTCCTGGCATCCCCCATGATTGCAGGTGAGGTCACAGCCATATTCCCCACAGGTTCCAGGCAGGTCTGTAAAAAAACAAAATGGGACAGTTTCACAGAGAGATTTCAATTAGGGGAAATCTGTAAGGTAATAAGAATGCAAGGACTGTGAGAAGGGATGAAGCAGAGGAAAACATCCCCCGTTTCACTGCTGCATGAACAGAGATGTCTATTCCAGTATCTTTAGGATGAAAGCAAAACCTGAAATGACTAGAATGATAGCAAGAAGGGTTTTGATAGAAGTTAACGTTTGTAGCTCAAGGTTGGATGAACTATGGGGTCCTTGGTGTTCTCTGAGCTTGGTTGTTTTCTTGCAGACATTTCATTACTAAACTAAGTAACTTCATCAATGTTGATGCTGCATTAATTGACAATGTTACCTTGTTTGGTAATGAAGTGTCTGGAGGAAAAAAAACAAACTCAAAGAGCACCAAGAGAATTTTCTGTTATCCTTTTGCTGATATCTTTTGGTCCTCTGGAGTTTTGCAGCCCAGAACTGGCAGTCTTGGAAAAGATTTTATGGGAAAGGCTCAATGCACTGGCAGAGTTCACAGAAAGGAGAAACCTCCAAGTCCAAGAGCTCCAGCGTCACAGTATTTTCATTCAACTGTTCTTGGGTCTGCTTTTAGTAAAAACAACAAGCACTATTTGGTTGTTAGACTGTTAACTGTAGAAGAAGCACAGGATCCTTGATAGTCCTACACCATGTCAAGCCAGATAAATGTTCCTCTACACATAGAGCACAACTTTTTCCCAGTCGTTTTGTACTACAGATGATCTCAGAAAACTGTTCCCCATTTCCCAGTTTTTCAGTTCTGTCATATTTGACTTTGCCTAATATAGTTCTACCTTTAGAGAGCTATAATGATAGGAGGAACTGCATCACAGGGTGATTTTGGCTTTGTTATTATGGAAACACGATGAACAACTAAGATATAGAATGGAATAAAAAGTTTCCAATCCTCTCCATAGACTCTCTCAGATTTTAAAATACATCCTAAAGCCACAGATTTTAAAATACATCCTAAAGCCACAAACCGAGTGTCTCATCTTGTGGTACCAGGCAAACCCTCCATAGGTATCATGCATCCTGTTGGTAAATAGTACTATTGACAGCATTTCAGGAAATGCAGCTTACCTTGACAGGTGATACCTTGCCTTCCATCCCGGCATGCACAGAGATTGGGAGCTATGCAGAAGCCACTGCCACAGCCAAAGGAACACAGAGCTAGGAATAGGACCAAGAAAGCATCCATTAGACTTGGCAAGGTGTGTGTGTGTGTGTGTGTGTGTGTGTGTGTGTGTGTGTGAACGCAGTCAGAATGGCTATGGTAAAGGATGCTGGTAGTTATAGTTCAGCAATATCTGGAGGACTGTATTTTCCTAATTCTAAAGTAAACAACACTTCATCAAAAGTAGGTAAGATGTTCATAGAGTAATTGTAAAATTAAAGTTACCAAATGAGTTGGAAGAAGAAAATGCCCTAAAAGCAAACCTATATAAGCTAAGCTTCGGTGCCAAGTACTTTACTGGAGTGCAATCATCTATAGCATAATAGGATGCTGGTCCTACTTGTCTCATAAAGGACAGCTCTGGTCACTGTTCACATCAATTGCAGCACTATCTATTGCTGTTGTTCCCAGTCTGCCTTCCTTTGGACCCCTTGTGTATTCTCTTAAGATGGTAACCCTTGCAACAAAATATTAATGAACATCAGTTTGCTAATTAGGATTAAAAGTAATAATGATGTAGTGCTGGCTGATTCTAGAACCACAGGTTCTAGAAACTTACGCAGTGTGCATTGTCCACTCCCTGGAGATGGTATCCATCCAGGACAGCACCCACTTCCAAAACCAGAGAGACAAATATGTGGTCCAATGCGACGCCTACAATGGAAGAGACAGTTTGAGATCCAATCTCCCTCCCACTCACCCACCCTCCCATTCTTCATTCCTTCCTTCCTTCTCCCTCCCTCCCCTCCTCCCTTCCTTCCCTCTCTTTTTTCCTTTTTGTTTGTACATAGTAATTGAGCATTACATATGCAGGAGATTTAAATACTGTGGATAAATGCAAATTGCAGTCTGACTTGCAACTATTTAAGCCAGACACGGAGCTTCTCTAGCTGGACACATAGTGTTGGCACAAAGCAAAATATAATAGCATGTTGGACCAAAAACCTAATTGATGCTGTGTTCAAGACACAATGAAACTATTTGGATGAAAGGTGCAGTGGGTCAAATTACATAGAAAAGCCATTCTTTCTTGGCAAAAGGGAACACAGACTTGCAGAAGTTATCCATTTAATAGTTTACAGTAGCCAGTATGGTGGCTGTCCAAAACATTTTGGAGAACAAAAGATAATATCCTATCCAGCCTAGTCAGAGGACCACAGTAGCCAAAGCCAGACAAGTGATTTTGACACAAGGGGAATAACATTGTAAGCATCTCTCTTCATCCTTAGTAGTAAGATCTTAAGTAATTAAGAAATTAAACTTCAACGTGCACGCCAGCCTCACCCTTTTTACTCTGGTTGTTGTGCAAGTGTCTACTCTCTGGGATGATAGAGGATGAGGACAGGGAAAGAGGAGGACAGAAAACCTGGGGGAACAAACAAATCAGTTTTCCAACAAGCATCCCATCTCATCATTTCCTGACTGCATTTGCAGCTTATGGAGGGGCATATATAGGAAAGCAGCTGCTCTTTTGATCATTGTGAAAGGTGCGGAATGCAAGGCGTTATGGTGCCTTGGCTTCAGAGAGAGTAGGAGAAATCCCAAGAGGGAGATAAGGCAGGAATTCTCACCAATACAAAATTTCTTACCCTGCAGCACCAGAATAAATGCTACAAACTGTCTTCACTGAGTTCCCTCTGGAGGAAGAGCTAAGATGGAAGTTAATCTGTTCAATGTTGAAGAGTTGGGGGGAAACTGCCAGCATCGTGGAGATTGGGGCATGTGTTGTTGTTTTTTTAATTGACCTGGGCTGGCATGAGTCCAACAAATGGAGACAGAACAGGGGAGAAGAAGCTCATGAAGTACAGCTGCGCTGTCGGGCAGGATGATGAGCTGACCTGGCTGCTAGCCAGGGCTATTGTAGGGAAATGTTGAGACAGCAGTCCTATTGGTTCAGGCTACTATATAGGTATTGTGGACTAGAGATGGGGGGAAGAGAAACCCCCATATCCTTAATTGCTTGGGTACTGCTGCCAATCTGACTCAAAGTTGGAAGGGAGAGATTACTGAAGAGGAAAGAAAGAGTAAAAAGGGCTGCAAAACAAAGTGCCTGGAGAGAGAAGGTGGAGAGTACATGATACATGAATGTGAGGGGCAGTTGTCAATTCCCAGTAGGAGGGATGGAGGAGAAAAACCTACAGGAGGCTTTCTGGAGGAAAGGAAGGAAAGTGATGACACCCTCATAGATGACCCAAGACAGGGAGGAAAGAGAGGTGATCATTAAGCCCTGGGGGAGAATTAGTCAGAAGACCCTGAAAGAGATTCCCCAATGGAGGGGAAGGTGATCAGCAGTAAATCCAGCACATTCCTTCCCCCCATCCCTTGTTTTTCTGTGCCAATTGCTATCTTTACAATACACCTCCAACTCTAAAAGAACTAAGTTACATTGTGGCAAGTGGGACAGGGACACAGAGGTGTGGATGTTAACTAGAGATGGTCACCGTCTTTGCATAAGATGTGCCAGAGAACAGAGAAGTCACTCAATGAAGCCTAATGGTTATTTTGCTCATTGCACAGGCTCAGTTGGATGATCTTCATGCATAGAATAGTGATGCAACCATGCCCTGTGCTGGGTTCAGGTTGCTCATGAACTATAGAAAAGTGTCCTGGTGGGCTTGCAGGATAAGGTTCTGTTCTCACACAAAAGAAAATGGAGCAGTTTACAAATTGCGTTAATAAAATGGGACAAGACTGTTGAAACAAAAGAGGACTTGGAGTATGCAAGGAAATAAAAGCTACCCACAGACACATGGCATGGATAATTGGAGCAGCAGTTCTTCCTTACACTAAAATATAATAACTAATCATCATCACAACATGAACTGATGCACATCTATGGAAACAAGCTTCCCATTACCACAGATGCACAGAAACATGGGACAAGTTGGCATCTTGAAATCAGGGCATTCAGTGAAGGAAACACACTATTACCCCCTCCATCTTGCTGCCAAGCACAGTCCCTCAGTTGTGGAGCTAACTTTTTTCCTCCTTTTGGCAAACTGGTTTAACTGGACATTCAGTCCTGAATGGCAAGTTTGGACAGCACAATCCTCAACAGCTTGGTCGCCTCCAGGACTCTGCCAAGCTGGAGACAGCATGGCCAGTAGCAAATAGGGAAGGAAGGAAGGAAGGAAGGAAGGAAGGTGGAAAGAAGGAAGGAAGGCGGAAGGGAGGGAGGAAAGAAGGAAGGAAGGTGGAAGGGAAGGAAGGATGGAAGGGAAAGGAAGAGGAAGGAAGGAAGGAAGGAAAGTCAATTCCCACTTCCCCAACCAAGGGCCACCGTCTCCTAGCACGCGCACCAACGCTGCCCCAGAAGGCACCGACTCCCTCCTGCGCCTCCTCCTCCCTCAGCACTCGCCATGGAAAGCGCTGGAAGCGCTCGCTACCCAGCTCGTGTGGTGCGAGGTGGAGGGGGGGGGGATGGCGAGGAGGTGTCGTTCTCTCGTTCTCCAGTCAGCCTCAGGGGGATTCAGTGGCGGCGGTGAGGGGGGGAGAGAGGAGTGTGGCTCTACTAGGCTTGTCCCCGTTTGGTGGACGGATATTGGCGGCGGCGGCCAGGGCAGCGGAGGGGTACCTCTCTACGGCGAAGTTGGCAAGCTTCCTCCTTCCCGTGTAGACTCTCCCCAGAGCGCCGTGAAGGAGCACAGCCACCCAAGCAGCCTGGAAGAGCAGCCCGGCCAACATGACAGCGTCTCCCAGTCCGCAGAGATGCTTCGCTCCCTCCAAAGCCTCTTTCCTTTCCCTCCCCGCCCCTCTCCTTCCCCTCAGGCCCCCTACAGCATGGCTTGAACTGTCTGGTCTCTTCCCACCAAAGAGGCGGCCGGGGGCGCTTTCAGGGCAGAGGAGGGGAGCGAGGATCAGCGCTAGCGAGCTGGGGGCAGCGGCGGCGGCGTGGGGAGAAAGCTCCTCCCCACGAGCAGGCTCAGGTTGCGGAGGGGCTCCCCAGGGTTCAGGGTGGAGGGGGGGAAAAGCATTGCCTGTGTTGCGAGGGCGTGCGTGCGTGCGTGTGTACAAAAGAGTACTCGCTTCGCCCCACCCTCCGGGATGTGTGTGTGTGTGTGTGGGGAGAGGCTGAGAGGCGCAGAGCAAAGGAACCGGGGAGGCCCCCGGGCTTTAAAACACAGCAGCATTGTTGCTGCACTAAGAGGAGCCCCCTGCCCACCCCATTTTTTAAAAAAAGAGTCTCCCTTTTCCACATCTGGCTTGTGGAATGTCCCCTCCTCCCCTTTCCCGTCTGGATCGAAGAGGAGCCGCGGCAGATAAAGGCTTCCAAGCGGCTCCGAGGGGGATGAGGACCCGAGGCGCATCCGATGTGAATAGCAGACTGGGCTGCTGCCTCTTGCAATACATTGGGGGCCTTGTTCCAGAGACGAGCTGCAAAGCTGGGGCCGGAAGGGGGAAAGGGGAAAAGCGGGGAGAGAGAAAAAGCAGAAACCATAAAAACCAAAACAAAAACAAAATCGCGCCAGTTGCCCAGCTGTCGTTTCGGATTTTCCACTGGTGAAAAAAACAGGTGTTGTTTCAGGAGGTGAACAAAACCGTGTTCTGAAACACCAGCAGTCCATGTTAAGCAGGGTTAGCATAAGCTTGGTTTATTGAATAACCGAATCTTGCCTTATCCCGATAAACTAAGCCATTAAACCTGGTTTACTAATGGTAGTGATTCACACAAACTATTGCAAAGCCAAGCAACCGACATTAATGCCTGCTCCATGACTGGAGATTATCAAGTAGTGCACATTAATGTATTTGTATAAGAACATATAAAAAGAGCTTAGCCAGCACTTATTCTTCAATAGAATCATCATATGTTATATAGCAGAAGTAATTGTAGCTATGAGATTCACTCTAATCCAGCTCAGAAGTTCAAGGACATTCATCAGAGAGAAAAGCATAAAAATTAAGATAGATTCTCTCAAGGGGCAGGCAAACTAAACACAGAAGTTGGGTCTCCTTAATGAAAAATAGCGTCTTGCTCAGTAGACATAAGGAAGCTATTGTGCTGTCTCAATAATTACACTGGCAGCATACTTTTCAAGAGATTGCATTCCCCCTCCTCTAATAACAAGGATTCCCTTCCTCTGCTAATGTATCCTTTGGAATTGTCCAAACAGTCTTTCTTGGCTCAACTAGTGTTATCACCACAGGCAACTCTTATAGGTAATAAGCAATCCAGTACCAACCTTTGTCAGGGTTGTGCAACTTGGGGAATGTAAACAAGTTTTATTTTTATGCTTAGCAGATGATGCAGAGCAATTCTCTGTAACCCTTAAGCTTGGAAATGTTCAAAGCACTAACAATCCTATTGCAAAAGCAATTAAGAGTCTTTTGGCATTTTAGAGGCTAAAAGACTTATTCTCTGGTAAGCTTTTGCAGATTGTGGTCAAATTCATGAAACTGTTATTACCAAAAATCCCTCTTGGCTATCTATTCTATTTCACCAAGTGAAAGATTAATCCACCGAAGTTATTTTCTGTTGATTTCTCTCAAATATAAAACTGTATCAAATATACTCGATTCTTATTACCAGGAGGGTCTCTCTTCCAATTAGGATGCATCATGTTTACCTCCTGGTTCCACTAGTGAGAAGGCAGGAAAGGGAATTTATTGCTCTCTCCTTCAAAAACTAGATTTGAATAGCAGATGAAATTATTGTGAGGTGTGGGGAGCTGGAGAGTAGAAAGAGACTGACACATGGAACATGACTAGAATTTGAAAATCAGACTTTCCCCCAAATCTCTGAGAAACCTTTAATTCACATCTTATACAAAAAGCGAATAGAAGGAAACCACAAGAGAAAGCATGAAGGAAACAGCATTACAGCTTTTGTTCTCATCCAAAGCACTTGGCACCATCTTTCTGTCCCCACACCAGCTTTACAGAGTGCTGTGAAGCTTGGTGGAGTGACACATAAGTCTAAGTGCTATTGCTATATACTTGCACTACAATGACTCTCACAAGTCACATTGTTTCCTGGAGCAGGAGAAAAACAAACAACAGCATCATAATGTTTGATGGCTTACTTACTTGCTTACTCTGCTGCTACCTGGACTACAGAACCTATAGCTGTCAAATTGCATTTGTACATGTTGGAAAAGGATACTAAAGTTCCTTCAAGAAAACCTCCTTTTGGTGTTTATTTATAGTGCTCTACAATTTTAGGTATCTATTATTTTGATGGTCAGCTGACCTACAGGTTCAGGGAAAAGTGGCTTTGGGAATACCAGTTAAAAATTGGTTGCTGAAATAACCTTTAAGGTCTGTGCTTCTGAGGCTTCCGTCAGTATTAAGTAAACAAGGAGACAGGAATCTTATACATAGTATGCTGCCTCTCTAAAACAAGATTTCTGACAGTTATGCATATGCACGTTTAGAAATCCTAAAGGACTAAACCTTATTTTTATATATATATTTCTTAATAAGCATTCAGCAATGCCAATGTCCTGATCTTGTGTTTTTTACAGGTGAACTGTAATCTGTCAATTCGAATCAAAAAGTCCTGAACATCAGTATCAGATTAACTGCATCTAGATATTAAGAATGCTTTGTATTAACTCAAAGTGTTTTTTTTCTTCAAAAGGCAACTGGACTTTTGTTTTTCTTTGAAGAAGAAAACAATTTGCTTCTCATCCAAGAAATGTTATCAGTTCTGATGGGGGTGTGGGATGGAAAGATAGGTACTGACAGTTGAGACTGGATGGTGGAGAGTTGGAAGGTTAGGTTTGATAAGATGGGGGGGGGGGTGAGTGGAAGGATTGTGTTTCTTTGCAGTCATCTGATTGTTAATTGTTAAAAATAAACAGAAGGAATATAAACTTGGTTTATTTGATCAAGGTTAAAGTTATGTTATCTCCGTTAACCCTTTATGGGTTTTTGCTAACCACAACTAAACCAGGAGGCTGGTTAATTAAGGATCATTTGTAGATAAAAAATGGGATATGGAAAAAAAATCATTTGTTATAGTTAGAGGCGATAAATTATGAAAATATTTACATGTTGTGAAGTCATTTCTTTTATATATTTTTCACTATAATTTTTCTTTTATATGCAGCTTTTTTTAGTTTGTATTAGTTTTCTAATTGTAACATTTAATAAAATTACTATTAAAAAAGAAATAGCAACACATTGCACTTCTTGAAATCTCACTTTGTATATATTATATGAATATATTCCCCCTTTCTAAGTATCGCACATCTAAGCAAATATTGAAATTTCTTTCTCCCATTTTGTGTATTAGTGTCCTACCAAAAAGGACTATGTTTTGTATCAACTGCACTCTGAAGTTCAATGTACTAAAACAGGAATGTATTTCAATACATTGTACAATGTTTACTACATATTAATGCATTGTCTTTTGTATTTATTTGGAAATATAAGGCAAGCACAAAATAGATTGATGAAGTGCTTCAAAAATATGTGTAGACCCCCTTCCTTTAAGAGTAGTTTTGGCATGCATGTTTTCCCAATTGGGATACTTTCCAATTGTGATTTCACAATAAAATAAGAATCAGGGGCATCCACAAGGGGGGACAAATAATGAAAGTAGCATTCTGCCTTTGTAAGAAAGATATCACACTTTTTCTATGTATATTACCACACAACAGAGCTTTTGTAATTTTAAAAAAAGCCTCCAATATCTGAAATGCATATGCTTGCTCAATCATCTGAATATTCATGCATATCAGGTTTCCTAAAGTAGGGACAGCTAATGTAATGAAAACAATTAAATGCTTGTAGTTTATTTAAGGCCATGTCCAAATAACTGCTGAAGGCAGTTAGTCTTAATATCTCTGAAACCTCAAATTTCTGTCCTCATTCCTCCTGAGAATAAAGCCAGGCTTTTTGATAGTATTCTGTTCTACCAAGCAGCTTGGCCATTAGTATCACAGGCTGAAGATATGATTATAGAGCCTCCATGTTGTATGGAACATTTTCAATTATTTTTCCAGGTGCTTTTTTCCCCCAAGTGTTTATCTTTTAGCAAAATATACCATTTTACAGAAAGCTAGTTGCATTCAATACAAGCCTTAACACCTTATCTAAGCAGATGTGAAATGCAACATAAGCAACGGATCTAAACTCCTGCCATCAACAGTGATTTTAGAAAGTATGGGAGAGCACAATCATCTAGTACACGAGCAAGATTTGTACAGGACATTGCTTCACACTGTACATGCTACGGGTGCCAGAAGTTGTTGACCTTTCCAACATATTACAGATAGTCCTTGACTTACAATGAACAATTGGGACCAGAATTTCCACTAATGGTAGTCATTAAGCTTATTACACAATCATGAAGCAAATAACTCGGTGGTTAAGCAAGTCCAGCTTCCCCAATGGGCCCTTCTTGCTGGAAATCAGCAAAAAAGGTCATTAAATCGCAATCATGTGACTGTAAGAAGCTGCAAGTGTAACCGTAAATGGGAACCAGTTGCCAAGTTCCTGGATTGCAATCACATGACTGCGGAGGTGGTATGATGGTCATGATGTGAGCACAGGTCATAAGTCACTTTTTCTGAGGCTGTCATAACTTTGAACCATCATTAACTGAAAGCTATAAGTTGAGGACCACCTGTAACAAATATTCTGTCTTCTGTTGAGCATATCAAAGAACTATGGGTTATTTTTTTCATTTTTACAATTCCTTACGGTTTGCTCAAATGCTTTCAAGACCCTGAAAGACA